CCACCCCCTTGGGCGGGAGGAGGGCGGCAGCCGAGCCAATGGCAGCGTTTATATGCAGAGGACGCAACGGCACCGTTGGTCCAATCTCCAAGTGCTGGTGGCCGATCTCCAAGTGTTGACTAGCACATGATGTCGGTGGAAGCCTCATGAGATCTCCTAAATTGGTGCAGAACTGTGTAATCACTTCACTGTAGTGAAGAGTTCATATGAGAGAACACATGCTCCACAGTTTATTTCTCAGTTTCAGCATGTCATTTGCTATGAGAGCTACAGGAAGGAAAATAACTGAATGAAGGACAAAGTCAGTTGCCTCCACAGTCAAACAACTTTTAATACAATCCAAGATTCTGCACAGTGACAAAAATACCATCAATGTAGGGAGTGATTCCCATGGTAGGGTAGAAAACCAGTTCAGCAGCACACCACCAGTCATCTGGAGAAAAACATCACCCCAAGTAATACACACACATCTCAACTACAAACAGTCTGAAATTCATGACGCGAGAGCTGCCAGAAAGGCATCTCAATGCCAACAGCAGGGTGCCCAAGCCTCCGATGCATCCAACGACCCGACGCCGGGTGTCAGTCACAGGAGCTGAGCTCCGCCAGTGCCAGCTCTTGGTCCCTGCTGGCCGTGGCTCAGTGTCTCTACGAGGACTGCGTGGTCAGTGGGCAGAGGAGATTCACAGCCCATCAAGAAGGAAGACGGATTTCCAAGGACAAAGCATGCAATTTCAATGCACACACGAACAGCAGTTGATGGATCTGCAAGTGCCACCTCTCCATGGCTCAACACAAACTTCATGCCAACCGAGATCTCTTCAAAGAGCGGTACTGACCACCCCTCCAATTTGTCTTCAGTTATCTCAACACAGAGGAAATGGGAGTTTTTCCCTTCCCTTCGTTAATTGGTGTCTATTAATAGGAGGCGATTAACATGCTTCATCAGAAAAGGGAGCCTGTCAAAGTGCGTCATCTGTAGTAATGACAGCTTTTGGGCGCAGCGACGAGGTGCGTCCAGCCTGGCTAACAGCTGGGAACAGTTCCTGTGGCCCAGAAACAGCTTAGACACCATTTACAATAAATTCAAGTTTCTGCTGTTAGGAGTTGCTAGTCTTTCCTGCCATCAAGACAATATTACAAAGCAAAAACAGCTTCTCAGGAAAGCAAATACCCTCTTGAAGAACTGTGGTGGCTGACGCCCATCCTTCAGCTCTGCAGCTCCAGACGGAGCAGCTAATCAAGGGACACCAGCACCCTCACTGCCATTGCTGCCGTAAAGACTAAAACAAAAACCACAGACTACATTGACAGTTGTTCGGAGTCACAAGGTGACCAAAGCACTTCACAGCTGGGGCACTGCAGATAATTTTAACTGTCTGATAAGGCGCCCATTGTAGTCATTGTCTTAAAAACCAGTCTGTGGTCTCCACTTCAAGAGTGTTGGGCTTAAAACAAGCTGTTGGCTTAATTACCTGAACTTTGATATGCTCTTGGTCAGCAACAACCATTAACTACACAGACTAAAAAGTGCCTTTTTGCTACTGGAAAGAAAACCAAGTCATGACGCTAAGGTGTCTCACAACAATAACGAGAATCACACATGATGATTTGCACATGAAAAGGAACGTTCATTTTTACTGAATGGGTTGTATGACAACAACACAGCATTCTACAATTCCTCTTGCTTAGATTATTGCACCCTCTTGCTTATTCACGCTACTCAAATTTAAAACACGCATACCAGTCTTGCAGGATGTCCGCAGCAGGGTACTGCTCTATCAAACTAAAACCAGCGACATGTCCTCAAGATTGGTATGAATACGAAGCATCAGGAGGAGGAGGATGACCTGTTAACCCTCTCACCCCCGCTGTGATGTGCAAACTCACCCAGGTCACTGCGCAAATCGCTGTGGACACAGTGTGTGCTCCAGGCTCACCCACACCAGCCGCAAACGCACACAGAGCAGCTGTTGGGCACTGCCAGCCACCCAGCGTACCGGCTTACTTTAAGAATGAAGATTTACCTTTAGTCCCATGTGAAGGACTGGTTGGCCACCTAGATAAGCTACCAAAAAGGGGTCTTCTGTGGACCTTCGCTACCAGGGGGGGTCAGAAGTTGTACTCCTCTGACAGAAGGGAAGGTGAGCTGAGGCCCGAGATTGACTTTTGAAAGACACTCGAGACTCAGACGCCTCAACCTCACTGATACCGCTCCTCAGATTATCACACTAACATCCTATGATGAATCTCTCAGCAGCTCTGAGTTGTTTCTGATTTCAAACACCCCGGTCCCTGTGTGCTAAGAACAGCGCAGGGAAAGGAACAGCATTTCTTAGATATGGCTTAAGACATGGTATAGCACTCGGGCTTCGTGGTCATAGGCGCATCCAGCAGGGACGGGGTTTGAGAAAATTAACATCATCACTGCCAGCTGCAGGAAAGATTTTGCAGATATGTAATCATCTGTAGCACTGTGAGTGAAATACTGAAGTCCCAAAGATCCTGCCAACACACAGCTCGAGGGAATTTCTGACAACTTAACAAGATGAAAATTAATGTGATGGTGTTCTGTTTTGCCCCCCATTTTTTTTTCCCCCAAGGGCACCTGAAACAAGCTCAAGAGAGGAGACAGGGACAAAACTGAAATCTCACCTAAGCGAACCTACTAAGTGGGTAGATATTTTGAGTGATTTGTTTTGTCTGAGGAAGCCTGCGGGATACTAGAAAGCTCAAAGTGATACAGCTTTGAAAACAATAACAGAAGGCAGCATCAGCCAGTATTTGTAAAAAGCCAGATACAACTGTTTAGGTTCCTCCCCATCAAAATACATAACTATAACTGAATTCTATCTGCCCTTCCAGTTCAATCAAGCTTACGGTAAACCTGTGAGAAGACAGTGGGACAGAACTCACTACAGTGGGACGTGGGAAAGAGAGGCCCAGTGCTGACTCTCAAACAGGGTGAAATAATCTAACTGCAAACATAAACAGTGCAAAGGACATCTCGAGCTGTTGTATATGCAGTCTAATATTTTAAAGACTTGTTTTGACAAAAATGATAAATGGCACCTTAAGAAGAAAAAAATTCACATTTTTGCCAAGTTTGTTCATGTACTTTGCAAGAGGCAACACTTTACCAAGACATGCGGTATTTCATTGACGGCACGCTAAACAAGCCAGCATTACCAACAAGACTCACCTGTGACCTCTGAATTATTAACATGAGCCTCTCCAGCCCAGCTGAGATTTTATCACTATACATTTTTAATTTTTCCTTTTAATGAACTTCAAGTTTAAGTGGTAATAACACTTCCCCTGCCCTAAAGCAATTTTTTAGATTGAACTGCTGAAAAAAAACAGCAATTCCTCTTTCCCCTCACTTCACTTGTGATGGTAAATCTTTTTTACTAGCAAATTACCCACTGAAGCTATGAAAGCATCCTGTCATATGCTCTGGACTATTCATTGCTGTTCATGTACTTGTGCTTCATGTGGGAGAAGTTCTACAGCAGATACCGCAAATTTTAGATAAAGATACTGGGCAATTGCCTCCAGATATCGCATGCCAGGAGGCACGCTTGCAGAGAACTGTATGAATTCTCAGGAATGAGCAAAAGCCTCTTTGCATTATCCAAACCCTACCAGAACACTGCTGGCAAAAAAGCATTACCTCTTTCAAGATCTCATCACTGGGAAGACTCATGATATGAAGAAACAGTGTCACCTAGAGTTCTCCTGGGACGGTCATCCACTCCCAGGATTACACAGCCGATTTCCCTCCCACCTCCCTTCATTTACTTGTGGGGAGAGCATTAAGCTTCTGTATCACAATGTTTAATTCCCCAAACATGTAGAAATATCAGCATGGTTATTCTCAGATTTAAAGCTTCATTTCAGCTTCTTGGAAAGATGAAGAAAGGGAAGTTTCTGAGCACTGTATATACGGTCTGGCTTTCAGCTGCCTGAAACATGAGTCAGTTTGAAGTCATTATACTGATATGGAATAGGAATGTAAACAAAATCAAGCCTTTGAGATATCATTGTCCAGTCCAGATGCCTTCCTCGGAGGCAGACTCCTCAAACAGATGCAACTGGAATGTGTCAAGGGCTCAGGTACAAGGAGAAGGATAACTAGCAATCACGGCTCTTGTGTGAATTGAGGGCTTTTGTAACTTAAGAAATGGTACTGATTTGTCTGCACAATGTCTGCTTATAGCAGGGCAATGGTTTTGTGAACTATGATTCTACATCAAATCTGAGCTCATCAACGTTCCCTGTGAGTGGACATTTGATATTTCTGGCACAAGCCAGATACTGGTGCCAGCGCCTCTGCTGTATACCTCAGCCAGCTCTGTGCCTCTGAGGAATTGCATCAAACTGCAAACCTATCCTGTGATACGGACTTGTATCCGCTTAGGATGGTTTGAAATCATTACACTTTCATTTTTACCTAATAACAGGACCTAAATCCAGATCTCTAGAGGTAAAGAGCCGAGTTAATCAGACATTACTTCACCTTGATTTGTCTTAAACAAAATAAGAGTAAACAACTAAGCCCTGCATTCAAGTGCACCACTTAGTAATTACTAAAAACACCAAGTCCAGCAGAAATTCTGTTCCAACTTGGCTCCTGCATTAGAATTTTCCTTGGGAATCCCAGGACAACCGAAAAACTAGTAGATTAATGATAGTCACATCAACCGTTCATGGTGTCCCTGAAGCCCCACACCTCCAAGACAGAGATCTGGAAGCTTTCGGAGCACAACGGCTGATTATTGAAAGTATTGCAGTGGCTGGTTCTTCCGTGGTTCAGATCCGCATCCAGGTAAAGAGCCTGGCCATCACCACCTCCTGTGAAGAAACAAAGACAAGTGTAAGGGTGCCCCTGCATTCCTCAGCAGGGGAAACTGCTATACAAACAAAACAAACCAAAAAAAAACAAAAGAAAAAGAACTCAAGTGAACAACTTGAGTCCCATGAGAACAACTCGTTCTCATGGGAACAACTGGAAGCCCTGAGTGATGTTTGCTTGCTGTCTTCAGGTGTGACAGTATGACCAAACGCATAGCTATTTGATTTTTTTTTTTCTTTTTTTTGATTTAAAAAGAAGTAATGCAGGTCAGTAAGAACAAGAAGCCCGACTCAAATGTCTGCATTTAAGATTTGTTTTTTCAGCGCTGGAGGATCTTGGAAACTACCAACTGCATATTTTCCCTCCAGTAAAGAAAAAAGCAAAGACATTTATTAGCATATCTGTTAGTGGCCAAAAATCAGAGCTGGGAAAAGAACAAGGAAGTTCTTCAAGAATTCTTTCTCATCATGAATTGGGCAGTATGAAGGTAGGGCTGTGCTTAAAGCTCTGAGTTACTATCTTACTCTAAAATGCTTGATATGCAAGTTTTCCCATTGAAAATTTTTGTTGGGTAACAATATCAGGTTTTGGCCACTTTTATCTTTAACTGTAGCAATACTGAAATACATATATGGTAAATATAGATGACTCTCTTATCTAGAGTGGACAGGAAGAGCTGGTAGGATATATGCTCAAATTCTCACACTGACTCACCTATAATGATGCATTCGCTGCTGCCAGCCATGAACATGGAGGCTGTTTTGGAAGGCAAGTTGAAGTGCCGCGCCGATAAGAAGGGAGAAAGGCGATCGGAGGGGTCTGATGGGCCACTGCTGGAAGAGAGGGTGCTGGAAGCTGGTGGGGCATGATTTTCTGGCTCCGAACCAGTTGTGGCCAGTTCTGGGTGTTTTATGATCACCCACTCATAGCGTTCAACTTCTGGTTGCAGCTGCATAGGGGCAGAGAAGAGCAAAGCTTTCATTAGTGCACGAGTACTACACAGAGTACTCTCCACAGCAAAGAACACTCAAGCCCCTCAGAGTCCACTCGCTTGATTAACAGGGAAGATTGGATCAAACTGTCTTTCAGGCCAGATGCTATTTTCTTTCTTTATACCTTTGCTTTTTAGGTGATTGAAGAAATGATGCAGTGCTGTCTGAGTTACCTTATCACATCTTTTAAGAAAATATTCTGTGCAAGGGGAGAAAAAGGGTTACGACAAAACTGAAAACTAAAATTTCCTCTACCACATTAATAGTTCAGTAGACTTTATAAACAAGGAGGGCATGTAATCCAGCCTCTTCAAGTGGAAGGGAAATAAGAGTTACTCACATCAGTACAGCGGCTCTGACTTGCTACTGGGTAGCAACAACAAAATTTTACTCACCCTAAATACAAAGCACTCCCCAGTTCCGAAGAAGCTCAGCTTGTTCCCTCCTCGCCTGCGCTCGCTCCAGTCAGTTGACAGATAAGCACCACAGACCTAGCACAGACAGCACAGTCAGGGGGCTTTCCATTGATGAAGAAAGTGAGACTAGCATTTCAGAGTCCAGAACCGAAGGGTTTATTTCAGTTTGTTTTTCAAAATCTCTTTATCAGTGGATTAAGGCAGCGCAAGTACTTATATCTAAAGATAGATTTAAACTGCTTTAATCCTCAATCCTTAAATCCTAAGAGTTTCATAAATTATTTCACATCTCTCATGCCTTTAAAGGAGAAATGTTCCAACAGAACCCCAGGTACCAAAACACTAATTACTCCAAACTTGTAAAGCCTGACTTCCAATTCCTCATTTTGGCATCCAAAGCAACAATATTGTCACAAGTTACAGTACGAACAGTTCTGCCTGAACATTTTCTGGTCACAAACAGTAGCCTTGGAGGCTTTCTTCATTTTAAACTGTAGGTTAAAATCAGTTTAGCTAAGCCAATGCTGAACTAGCTCAGATATTTAAAGCAGCCTATTCAAAGAGCACAGGGTTCCCAAGTTTCCAATACAGAAAAACAGAGACTTAGAGGGCTGAGCTTTTTTGTGGAGTCTTTTGTTTGCACTAGAAGAATTTCTTGCTATCAGCAATAAGCATCACTGCCAAGTGGACGCAGACCAAACAATGAAGGTTTAAGAATGGGATGAAAGCAACTCTGCTTCTTTTTTTTTTTTCCAGAAACTATGGTTAAACAGAATTGTTCTAAGGTACTTTTGCTGTTCAGCCTCCACCAGCATTACAAGCAGAGCTCCTAGGACAAAATTACTGAAGAGCAGGCTTTTCATATAGATAAATCATGCACATAAACAAAAAGATGGCCCACAACTCTGTTTGATCTGATATGCCCGAAGTACATGAGAGCCAGAAAATAAGAAGGCAAATTTTCTTCTTTCCAAGATGTAACAATAGACATATGAATAAAGGATGAACGTAAACCTTTGAAAAAAATCCCCACAACCACCAAACAAAAACCCCCATACTTTTCTCCTACTTTTTTGTTTGGACTATTTTTTTTTTTTTTGAGGGGTAGGAAATGAACCATACTGTAAAAACCAGCATCACTTACAAAGCTAGACTTTTCACATGCTCCAGAACAAGAGGCAAAATAATAACTATTTTCCCTCTTCCCTTTAGATACCATGGGCATTCTATAAGCCATTGGCACGTCAACACAGGCCTGGGATGGCCAGAAGCCACACACAGAACTATGAAACAGCCCGGAGTGTTAGCGTTAGGTAGATGCAAATAAGGGTAGAAATGGGCTTGTTTCATGGACAGTCATCCTACAGGAACATAAGCAGAAATATAAGCCCACAGGCTGCAGTAACAGCTTAACGCTATAAGCAGAATATTTAGGAGTCATGCACAGTGGCGCAGACAACTGATGCTCATTATAAGAAGATTCTTTGGAGTTTTTTTTTTTTTAAACAAGCATAAGATGAAGCCAATGTTTCTGTTTTCACATTATGTTGTCCAATATTGTCATACACAGTAGAGCAGAGAACCAGTACTCATGAGATAAGGCCTGTGTGTGCACTCCTCCTCAGGTTCTCAGAGCTTTCTTGTTTTATTTTTTTTCCCCAAACAAGGATGAGACAAAGCTAAAGCCTTTGTTTCCATGTTATGTAGTCCAATATTATTCGTACCATTTAAATTCTGCTACTTTCCCTCCTCATATCCTGGAGAAAATGAAAATATCTTCTATGAATCATGAGTTTCTTAACACAAATCCCCAGCCTCTCCCTCTGATTCTGCAATTAAGAGAGTCTGTCCAAGAGCTCAATGAGTTACTCTGGTCCATCATCCCACATTACTTACAAGAGAAAGAATAGCTGACTGAGCCCTAGTTTACAAGATTTACCCAAGAATGCATAGTCCCATAATTGACAAATGGAACCGTTTAAAGCATGCATTGTTAAAAAACCAAAACAAAACCCCAAGCAAATTCAGGTCTCTTGCTTCTTTATTTTATTATAAACAGTTGTCTGTTGCAATACAGCATTACATAACTGCCTAAAACCTAATTTAATCCTTTGCCTTTCCCCTCACTTACCTCTTTTGCTGTGGTCTTGATGAGGAGAAGAGTTGGTTCGTGTCCCTCGCTGTGAGAATAGAACCTGAAGTGCAGAATACATGAAAAATGAGCACTCAACTACCCCCAACCGCAGTTCTTTTCCTCCTTAATGTCAGGCATCATCTCGTCCTCCAGCTGACGGCACGGCAAAAAAGACATCTGAAGACTAAGGATATTCCTCCAAATGCTTCCTACAGTCCACTGTAAATAACAGAGTTGAGCGCAAACAAATATTATCCAGCAGTTCTTCTCTACTTGGTTCTGTGTACGGTTGTTTAGGTCTCTGCAGGATAACTAGAAGACTACCTGTCACACCAGTGGCATTTTACAGCATTTTGAATTAAGGCCAACTAAAGGAAGTAGTGTTCTGAAGACTGAAGGCTGTCTGAAGAGCTTTCAGTTTTCATAGAAAATAATTACAATGCACTCTCGTTGCTTGCTTTTGCTTTTCCTCATAGGCACGTGGGCCTGGGACAGCAGACCACTCACTCCCCACCTCAGTACCTCAGCTGCAGATGTCGAAGTCACCTGCAGAAGTCACATCAGAAAATTAGTCTTCTGTGTCAAGTGCAAGAACTCATATCTAGTTTATCCCACAATCAGATTCATAGGCAGACGAATCTCCAGTTTCCAGTTCCCTTATTCTTTGGATCAGTTTGAATGTGGTTATCTATCGAAGAGCCTGCAGAGCAGCCACTGAGTGAGCCATTCACACCCAGCGGGGAACGAACCAGGCTCAGACCAGCAGATTCTGTGAACTGATGCAAGTTTGACTTTTCCACTTGGTCTTGGATAGTTTAAAAAGGCTTGCCATGTTCTGGCATACGAAGTATCCTAGTGAAACATTGTAGCCAATAGGAATTTGTCACATTTACATCCCATCGCTAATAATATTTTTCAGGTCAAGTTCTGACTAGGCATGGCCTTTTTGTCAATCCAGCCAACAGTTCACCAGTTGCTCTTTTTTGCGCTGCAGTTGAGAAGAGCGGGGAAGGTTTTCCTTACCTGCTCAGACTACAGCCGTGTTCCAAGGTGGTGAAAAGCAAGAGGGGCTGGCAAAGTGCAAATCGCTCCGGGATCCACGACCAGATATCTCGCATCTCTTTCACACTGACAATTTCAGACTTGAAGTTCTCAGCATGAACTGCTAAGTGCACATTCTGCCTAAGAAATAAAATACAAAACATTGAGAAACAATAATTTAACAAAACAAGTTTCGGATTACTGGAGAGAAACAGGCAAAGAACACTAAAAGGCCCTAGCAGATATGCTATTGTTCAAAGCTCCAGCCCATGGGATTAGAAGGCCATGACTTTGTGAAGGTAATAAACTACTGCAGTTTAACATAATCCTCGAGCAGCAGTGATCTGGCCTTACTGAAATACCTGGAGCAATTCCTCTGTATGGCAGCCATGACCTGCACCTTTATATACAGAGGACACAACGGTGACCCAGCTAGGATGACCATGACCTTAAATAGATCAAATTATACTGCTGTTTGAGACAGTCTCACTGGTGCTACTAGTGAAGCATAGAGAACCGGATACCTAAAGAAACAGCCACGATCTGAAAGGAACGGGTAGCGCTTTTTCCCTCCTCTGAGGTCCTGCCTGTTATCATGGAATTAGAGAATTCCTAAAACCCTCAGAAATCTTAGAGGAATCAGTATTACCAGGCTAAGCAATTTTAATCCAAGGCAAGTATCTGAAGCTTTTGGAAAGTTCCACTTCTTGGAAACACGTCATTACCAATGACTTCCACTTCATTAAGAACCAAATAAGTTCTGAAGTTCATGGTTCCAGTTGGAGCCTGAAAACAAGCAGGAACGCTAGCCACTCACACTGGAACGCAAACCCCCATACCTCCCAGAGGGGTCCGAGACAATTACAAGACCTGATTCATGGCTTTTGAACACTTGAAGGTAATCATCATCATCATCTTAACCAGCCTTCATTTCTCAGATTAGATAAGCACAGAGACTCAGAGCCTGGGGATTAAACAAGTGTTATCGCATCTGTGGCCGATGTTAAAGACTTTTAAAATGCAAGGGTGAGAGCCAAGTACACGGTGGAAGTGACATAGGAACTTACACAAGATACTGAATTACTGGGGAGCCGTTAGTTAAATGAAGCTTCAGGTGATTTGCTCTGCATGCAAGGGTTCAGTTGCAAGTATTTGCCAATTTCTGATGGGTTTGTTTTTTGGTGTTTTTTTTGTCAATTAAATATTTCTTTCCTCAGTTTCATGGAACATAAAGAGAACGGAACATCTCAATACTGCATATCTGCATAGCTTAGCTCGCTCCCTAAAACACACAAACTATACATCTTTTATTATTTCTCTTGTTCATAGTACCAAGAAATCAGCAGCATTCGCACTGTACTCTAGAGTGGTGCTTGCTTGGAGACATTGGGAAATGCTTTCTGAAATTTATTGTAGCTGCCTTAGTGTCAGCATTTCCAATGAAGTGACTCCTTAGGTCACATAAAAAAATAAAAAATTACTGCTTCCTCTAGCAAAATGAACGAAATCAGTACTTGCACTGCTACCCTGAATTATTTAATTAGCAAGGCACTTCTATGGACACCTATTTAAGCAAGCTGCAGCTATTAACGGGTTTTAAAACTTACAGTATCACCGACTAGGACACTATTTGTGCTTTTAAACATCGGAAGCTGACACACAGGAGAGATCAACTGAAGCAAAGTACGAGCCAAGACTTGAACCCACATCTTCGGAATCTTACTTTAGGCATCAGGCTCAGCCCTCCCAGTCCTGCCTGATCTGCAGCTGGTGGCGCTACACAACAGGGCTGAGAAACAAAGCCTTGGTTTCAGTTCATCAGAAATTAGATTTTTCTCACGTTCAAGGAATTAAAAGCATTCAGGGCAGTCAACCAGTTTTTACAGTGAATTTCTGGAGGAAAAGTAGCGATAATAAATAGGCTAAGAGTTAGTAGCAAATACTGAAACAGTTTTAAACTGACTAAACCTCCAACAAGTGAACACCACAATTATTTGTGTGCTTGGTCTGTACATTTTTCCACACTTACGTGATCTGTTTGGGCAACTAAACTTAAGAACTTGTTCCTAAAAGGCTCTCAACCTCCGTGTACATTTCTTTTGCTTCCATTCCTTCTCATGGCTACTACAAATTGCTGATTTAGGGACTTTCCTACCCAGATCCCACTTGAAGCCTTTCTTCAGCAGTATTCATAGTAACACATCGCTTTCAGTACCCTGTGTCTTCCTATGACTTTTCCATGTAGGTAGAACATCACCTTTACAAACAGATCTTTCTGGTTTACTAGGAAGCATTTATCATTGTATCGGCTGTTTAAAACTATTCCAGGCAATGCCGTTCTTGCCGCTTGAATATCATGGTGAATCATTCTATGTTTAATGTCACCATTCAGTTAGTAAAACCTAGATAGTAGCCTGACTGAAGTATCTGAAATAAAATGACCTGCTATTTCCCAGTTTTAAATCACAGCTGCAGCTGCTTAAGACAAACCTGATCCTGTGTTGAGACCGGTGTCAATACACAGCCTGCACCTACCTCAACCCAAACCCTGTGCTGCTTAACAAAACTACAATTTTTTTGGAGGGGCTTCAGAAAATTGCAACTAGCATTGCAAGTAATGAACCTGTATTCATCCTCTCATTTTTGGCAATATTTCTCTGAAATATTACACTGAACCTACTTCAATTGGGTAGTTGATTTTCAAAGTAGTAAATGAGTGAAAATGAACAGCACACAAGTTGGCTAAGAAAAAAAAAATGTTTTGACCTATATTGGTTGATTAAAATTAAGTTTAGCCTTCACCACACCACAGTTCTTTCAGGGCTATCTGGTAAAAAAAACAGCAATGCAAGAGAACACTAAATTTGGACTGGCACTACACTAAAGTCTACCACTAAAACTGAATAAATTCATTAAGATTTTACTCTTTATTATTGCTTTCCTCAATTCTTCCTGTTGGCTTATTTGGATTGGGATGACAACTTTCTATTGATTGCTGATGTTGGAAAGCCACCTTCCATTTTTTATTATCCCAAAGGAAAGTAGATTTAGGAAAGTAGCAGAATTTAAATATTTAATAAAGGAGCTTAGTTTGCTGTCTTCACAGGAATGTTGTTTTTACAGCTACATTATTAATACAATGTACTTCAGAAACATCAAAGTTCCTGCAGATAAAGCCAATGCTGATGGCCTGCGGTAGCAGCGGTCAGAGTGGATATGCTCTGTATGTATTATTCCAAGACAACAAATACCATGCTCCAAGGCATGACTCACTGAATTACATCTTCCTGCTCTACTTTGGTTTGGGTCAAGTCTTACAGGGTCTGCATTATCTTTAAAATCCATTATCATTTTAGTTAGGGCATAGATGCGTGGTAGAAGTGACGTGTTGCTTCTCAGACATAAATGGCAATATAAGCCATACATGGTGCACTAGCCTGCAACCTAATCCTGTGTTGTAGATCAGTGTCAACAGACACCCTGCATCTACCTAAGTCCCCTCAAACCCAAACCATGTGCTTCCCAGCAGAAATCAAGTCTTTCTTCTCCTTTCGTTGTAAAATACAGTAAGATAATACACGAACACTGAAGACTTGTGTGGCTGGAATTAACAGCCTGCTGATCTATTAGAGGTAAAATCCTCAACACACAGGATATGATATGAAATACTCTTTGATAAGTCTCTTAAGGTGTTCTTTTAGACAGGAAAACATGAGGAAATTCATTCCAATTTTGATTTTATAAATTAGTACAAATGTTAGTGTGCATCACTCACTGAAGTTAACTCAGGGCACCTGCAACAAGGCCAGAAGATTCTCAATGGCATTCATTTAAACCCATACAGCTGTGGTACTTAATACTCACAGGGCAGTCTTTCTCCTTTCCAAGTTCTCTGCTTATCAGGTATCACAATCCACTGCGTTTTGTTCTTTAAGATTTGCTTTTCAGGCCAAGAGTTGATGAATGACTTCATTAACCATTAATGCTATATGGCTGAGTAACTCTGACCTCCTTGACATGGGAAAACAGTCTGTCTTCTTGCCTCTAAAAAATACCCTATCTGCTTAAAAATAAATGTCACCTAGCATGAACAGAGACAAGTCACTTTTAAAAGTATGCCAAGTTGGGTTCAGTCCAACATCTTTCCAATTAACTGCAGAAAGCTTGCAAAGAAGGAAAAAAAGTTCCGGATGTCTCACAGCTATTGCAAGAGCATACAGGTTTGGATGTGGGACAACACTCAACAGTTCTGAAGACACATTACTTGAGATGTTTTGAAGAATAATGCTTTTTCTTCCAACATAGAAGGGACTTATATCACATCATTAACATTATGCTTTTCCATTCTGGAAAACACAGGCTCGTATTGCTGTATGGAAGTGCTACATTGACAAGCTGGGCCCATGATCCCTTATCCTACCAGTTTGCAGGTGCTTTGAACTAACTTCAAGAGCGTATTCAGGAGATGTCACACAGCAATGGGATGCTCTAATTGCTGCCCTGCTTCTCCTGCCCCAGCATTAGCAATAATGACAGCCTCGGAAAAAAAATAAGAACCTGCCAAAGTCAGAAGAAACGAGCAAAGCGCCAAGATTCAAGTGTTTTAACCTACCTTTTGGGAGATGCAACACTGCAAACAGGAGGGGTGCAGTGGGTATGGAATTGACAGAAGGAGAACGTATAAGGAGAAAGACAAAAAAGACAGAAAAGATCAGTGATTTCCTACATCCGTGACAAAGTGAATTAAAGGAGCCTGGAGAGAAACAAAGCAAGGTTTGATTCAAATCACCAAGCACAAGAAAAGCAAACAGACAGGTTAAAATATTTCCTATTTCTCCCCCCCCCCCCCTTTTTTTTTTTTTTTTTTGCTACCTGCTTGTAGTTATCTGAGTGTAAGATAATTCATCATCTCCATCATCTCCTTGCACAGACCAAACACATCTGGGCATGAGAACTCACTCACACCCTATCAACCACTGGAGAAAAGCTCGTTTCTCCAACACCCACATCTGCCTACGTTGGGATCCAAACTGAGCCCAGTTCACAGCAGTACCGTGCCAGGGGATACTGAGAAGTTTCAGTATGCTTACAAAAGTAGCCAAGAGAGAAGTTCTTCACTAGCAACTCTGCCTGGTAAGGTAGTAACTACTGGCATTATTTGCGTACAAATTTACTGGATTTTGCTTTAAAGGCACCACTGTTGCTCTGAGCAAGAATACCTCTACCACATTTAACACAGCGCCAACCTCTGGGTTTCTTTTTTACAGTTAGGGGTTTTTTGTTTGTTTTGTGGGTTTTTTTTGTTCATTTGTTTTGTTGTGTTTTTGATTTTCTTCTGTTTAGTTTTGTTTAATTCTCTCTTTCTGTTGCTCAAGAACATACTCAGAAAGGATATTACAACTCTTCTGAACTCCAGTACAGGAAGAAAAGCTACACACCAGAAGAATCAATACTTTTGGTTACCACGTCCCAAATACAATGGCCTGAACTCTGCCCGATGTGACGCTCCAGCGGCTAAAGGCCTTGAAATATTTGAGAGTGACAAAGCGGTCTCTTCCAAGATATGAGCAAGATAAAGCACAAGCTCACTGTAAACCAAAGTGTGAGTCTAAAAATAACCTATTGGACAACACTGGAGGGAATTTTACATGTATTTGAGCACATGAAAGAGGTTCAGCTGACATTTACATTATAGGCTGAAATCTGGTATGTATTTCAATACTACAGAATGATATTTGTTTGCAACTCCTGTGACTAACTCAGCAACACAACTGGCTGTAAGACCCTGATACATCAGTGGCTGGTACCTTTTGATTTTTGAAGATTTAGAGACAACAAAAGACTGTCCCTCTAGAATACCAAGTTCTAGATATCACACTTACTGACCGCTTCAGAGGTTGCAACAGCTGATAAAATTGTTCAACTCAAACTTAGATTTCAAAAACAGCTGGGAGAAGTTTTCTGCAGTCACAGAAGGCCTTCGGATAAACAGAGTATGTCTACAACACCAGTATTTACCTGCCCATATATTTGCACTTAGCAGTATGCTAATTTTATTTAGATATTTGTTTTCTATACAGATGTTGAGATGTTTTGTTTTCTATATACATGGAAAGGTCTTTCAGCTAAGCTTTTTATTATTGTGCCTTTTACTGTCACATTGGGGCAGGATTTCATTCACTGGTTTCAAAGCTGGCTTTTCCTCCCCACATTTCTGAAAAGAAATTACGATTATGCAATCATCTTTTGGAGCAGCATCCTCACTGTTCTGTGTTTCTTTCAAAATCGTTATTTCTAATGATGTAATTTTAACAGATCTGTCACAAAATAGGTCAACTACCTACGATTACTATACTCTTGACTTTCAGGAGGCTTGCAGTCACGCTAATGTTAAAAGTAACCTGTAAATAAGACTTGTTCTGTTAAAATAACTCCACAGTTAAGCAAAACTCTCCCAGCTGGGACAGTATTTGCCTAGCTACACTAAAGAAACTGCTGACTTCACAGTACTGGGCAGCATGAAATTGACATTTTACACAAGTAATTTCACATTTAAGAATTAATTTTCATTTTTGTTTGGGTACTTTTCCTTCCACGTAATTTATCAGTGTTTTTTCCAGCTTTACAAAAATGCCTTTTAATTTAAAAACAGCTTGTGCAAGACACTTTTGGGATACAATACTTGCAATGAATATGTACCTGTAAAAAGTAATTATAAATTCATCATCGAGTAAGCCATGAGAAACCTCTTCGTTTCTCTTGTATCATAACATTTCAATTACACTTCTCATTACAATCCCAGAAATGCTTAATTTTGGGGCTGTTGACTTTTTCTGCTGAGAAAAAAAATCCCAAACAAACCAGTAGAGCTCTTCTCCTTCCCCAGCAGTCACTCAGGATTGACTGACTGACTGCTCATCACGCTGCGAAAACTCATGAGATCACTCCGGCTCCCTGTAGCAAGAGCCCTACCTTTTCTGTTTGACCGTGATGCCCTTCTGCTGCAAAGCCTTCTCATTGGCCATCTGTAGAAGCTGGATCTCCTTCCGTGAGAAGAGGCGGATAGCAAAGGCTTTTTCCAAAAGCCTCTCTGGGGACACTGACTTGGCAATGTCTCTCACAAAGGCCCGAATGTCCTGCTGTATGCTGTCAGACTCCATGGGCTGCCCAGCTCTGACTTTGTGAAAAAATTTCAGAAGAGCCAGCGCAACACGATAGAGAACTTTGTAGCCCTCCACCAGAAAGACATCAAAGACTCGAGCAATGTACACCATAGGTAGCTCTCCGAAGAGCCACCGTTGCCAGTCGGAGTATACCTCCAACACATCCTCGGACACTGCTACCATCAGCTTATGTGCTGCCTGACAGTACTTGTTAACCAGGTCACCAAAGGTCATGCAGGAGGACTCAAAAGCTAAGAATGTCTGATCGATGAGCCGCTTAGACGGGTCATTGCAAGCGAGGATCCGACAAACCTGTTCAAAGCACTCTGCCTCATCTTTGCTGTAGTGGAGGAGCAAAGCTATCACAGAAGGCAGTGCTGGGCAAAACGATATGTCTGGGAACTGATTCGCAATGCACAATATAATCTTCCTGACTGCCCCAATGCCTTCTGCATTCAAGCAGTACGTGGGGACTAGGCTGTTATCCACAAACTCTGGTAGTGGAAGGGAGCTACTGTTGCGTTTTCCAACGATCTTCACAACAATGTCCCGATACACATTTGCATCTGGGGTGACTGTGCGGCACGGGATATTGCTAATTAGTTTGTGGTACACTTTGGCTCTCAGAGAGTGGTTCTTGGCCCAGTAGCCCTGCCGGGCCAGCTGCTTGAGCTCCTGGAACTCTGTGCAGGATAGCTCCTTTGCATCCTGGCTCTGGACAGTAACATCCATTTTGTCCCAATCCACAAAGCGGTTGTATTCATCCATGGCCCCAGGAGAAGCATACCAGATAAATCATGAGAATGGAGACCTTATTTGGTCATTAAATGACTTGCAGCTTTTCCTGCAAAAGGAAAAGTAAAATAATAGGTTTCAGTAACAGGTAATCTCCCATTTTCTTCAGGAACACATACATACATTCAACTTATTCCTGCAATGCCAAAACTGTTTTCTAAAGCAAAGAAAGTTAAAAGATACATGCCTTTATTTTTAAGCCAAACTTTACTGCCATTCTGTCAATAACTCATACTGAAGTAATTTATCAATGGCCAGCCAAGAGGTTGAATCTGAGGGCATCTCCATGGGAAGTTAATTTCCCTAACTGAAGGTCCAAGCTGAGGCACAGACCTTTATGTTAACTTCTCACTTGGAGAACAGAAGCCTCCCACTTCAAAAATATCCATTGCAATGTCTGTTCAATTTGCCACGTCTCTTCCTACTTCTCTGGGGAAATAACTTATTTATACCACAAAGATGTAGGCTCACAAGCAGCTTACACGGTTCTAAGACTGCGTGGCCAGTGACAAGAGATGCTGACCTCCTGTTAGCTGCAGCCATATGTTCTTAGTCATTTCTCCGTGCTGGTACTAGCACTTGTGTGGCCACACAGTCACTGAGATTAGCTTGTTAAACATTTTTTCTTTTCCATTGGGTAAGAAAGATGAGCAACTGTATGGTCAGCCAGATTAGTGCCAGAACAAAGATGAGAGTGGGACAGAACCACCCTTTCTGATTGCACTACAGGCTCATGTCAGCTTTGCAGAACTGCTTTTTAATTCTCTGGAGTACTGCGCTGGACTCCTAGTCCTGACCTTGCATGCACTTCTATGATCAAATCACCCTCTAGAGGGCCTGCTATCACCAACATTAGAAGATTTTAAAAACGCACACCACTGCAATAGAACCAGGAGCTGAAAGATCAGGTTCTGGCCTCTAGTTCCTCAAACTACATGTTTACATGATCTGCCAGTTGTCTCCGGCTTTACAGTACACCTGTGTCCCAGCAGACAGTATGACTGCAACCACTAATGGCCATACCTGAATCAGCTTTACTCACATCAGTGCAAAACTAGAAGGGGAGATACAATACAAAGCACTAATAACAGCAGGCAACAAGTTTGCCCAGTGCTGGATCATCTCTGCCAACGTGTCCTCAGTGCCAGATTAAAGCTAAGAAGCACACGGCCGTTGAAGCTGCACGCACTGCAAAGGCAGATAATCCCTATAAAACACAACAGGCCTATAAAACTGTTTTGTACAATTAAGACGTTATGTAGCAAGGTTATATCAACAAAAACAGTTACTGAAATGCTTCCAAAGAGCCATTAGTCATTCCTGTGTCAACGGACTGGAGAACACATGGAACATGACATTTATCAGCATGGTCTTTTGTACAACAGGTGCATTAAAATGATTTGAAACTCATAGGGTAGACAGACAACTCATCCTCCCTACTTCATTACAGGAAAGTAAAACAAACATTTTGCCTTAAGTAGACAGAAGTTTGCAAACATACAACTAGCATTAGCTTGGGCAGCCATACATTTAATTCAGATAGTTTTAGGTTCTGACTAAATATTAATCTGGCTATTTTGGAATCGCATGCTGAAACTCCAAAATTTATCCCCTCTTTTAAGAGGTTGGCAGCTAACACACAGGAGCCTTTCAGAGAAGGCTTTTGGATGGCTCTTCTCTACCAAATATTTACTTCAGGGCTTTTTTTTTTTTTTTTTTAAATAAAAAGAAGATTCTTTTTGAGTCATCTTTGTACAATGCAAGAGCAATAGATAAATGCTCACCATTTCTTTTTGTTGTGTCTTCCAAATCTGAAATTAATTCTTAGACTGTAATTAAAGGAGGCAACACATTGTCCCGACTTCAGTTCTGAAAGCGGGGTATCTTACGGTGTTCGGAAATGATGCCTCTGACTGGGAACTGAGTGCATAACTTCAGGATATGCAAAGACAGTAACGGTAGGATATCAGTCCATCGCAGAGTCAATGTCAGCTCCGTGGAAGTTAGCATTTTTCTGTCATTCTCCACCTGTGAATCACAGGGAAACACATTACCTTTAATTGAAATCCTACAATAAGAATAAGAATAAAATTTTATAAGAATAAAAGAGAAATTGCAATGACCAGAGCACAGAGAAATGACCCATTCTGTTCATGGTCACTTCAGTATAGAAACTATTACTCTCCTGTGCTTACTGGAGTCTCTACTATGCAACAGCTTCCCCCTTCTGCCATCATCCCTTTGGGAGGCGCTTATTAGGGAGGTTTAAGTATAACGTCCATCATATGACAAAACTTCTAAGATACTCAGAGTTACATGTCAGCTGTCCTTTTTCCTGTAAACTTTCTTCTCCCTCCTCCTTACTTTTTCCTGTCTTATTTTCTATCATTCAGAGAAACAGGCATATTTAGAGATTCCATCAGTCACTTTTGCCTCCAGAAGCTGCTGCCCATTCCAGAAACAAATGAATTTGATGACTATGTGCTCCTCAGCAAGCTCACTGAAGTCCATGACTAGAGGATGGCAGTCAGACTGCCAGAACTTTTGATTGGAGCTTACAGTCTTATACATACTTTGGCTGGGATAAATCTGCTGGGACTGCCAGTAGATCTGGCTGCTTATCCTTTTCGAAGCTCTAGATGCTGAAAGAAAAAAGTGACAGCAAAGCAAATGGGCATTGTCAAGGTTGCCAGAGCATGACCAGCTCTTAACTGTGCTTGCAAAACCAACAGAATTAGCCTGCTTCAGTGTAATGGTGCATATCTCCTGACAGTGTGCCAACAGCTACTGTAAGTCAGCAGGGCTCAAATGGGGAATATTTACTTGCCAAAGGAGAAGAGCCCAAGAAATCTCAGAAAATGCCAGCCAGCCTTCATCTCCTCCTCCCACTCCTTCCGAAACTTCCTCCACCCCTCTGGGCAACTTCTCTCCCTCCTGGCGACCATGTAGACAGCAATATTTAACTTTGAGCTTGTGGGAAGGGGAGACAAAAGCTGTCTCACATTCAGTAGCAAAGGGCTAGTGAGTTGGGGCTGTCTCCTGCCCATCTCTCCCACTGCAGGGGAGCAAGTAGGCAGTACAGACTGCTCTATTCGCAGGGACAAAAGGCTCAGTTGACAGGTAAGGAGTAGTGCACGTCTGTGTCAGAAAGTCCCATCTTCGCCTAAACTACCTAGCTCTCACATATAAAGAAGGGGTGAAACACAGGCAGAAGAGAAAAAACACTTTAGAATGTAATGTTTGTATAAAGACATGGTAAAAGGTGGCTAGAGAGACCCATTTACACCTCCTTACTGCAACAAGCCTCCTTCCCTCTTGCTAAAATAACTTCAGAGAAGTTAAGTGTCATATTGTGGTAAGTATCCCCTAGCCGGGCATGGGGACAAGAGGATGGATGAGCATCCGTGCTGCACAGAACTGAAATGCTATTAAGCACCTGTTAGAACAGAACTATAAAGCGACTGTAAAAATTAGCAAAAAAAAATACATTACTCATAACGACACAGCTTGAAATTTATGCATACCTTATTTAAGAGGAAGCAGCCATTTCCTTTCTAATCAGACTGACTTTTACAAAACAGTAGGAATTAACACAGAAGAACAGAATCAGCAGAAAAAGCTTTTTTCTTAGGAACTCCCACACAACTTTGAGATTGTTAGATCTATTAGTCTATAACAGAGATCTTCAGTTAAGTGCAATATGAAAAAAAACCCAACCACCCACACAAGTGAGAAGTAGAACTAGAAAAATGCATATTGAGGATATGCCAAAAATGGCTGCAGAACAGGCGAAAGATTTTTCAAGGTTAAGTTTAAACTATGAACAAGCAAGCAATCATTACCATTCAAAACCAAGCGATGACCATGGTAACTGGAACTGGTGTGACTTCAAGTCAGTGACTAAATTTTTTGGCAATATTTAGCTTGCTAGTCTAGCTACATTTCCCATTCCATTCCCTTAGTTCTTCCCATGGTCATTTGGGCTACTTTCAGAAGACAGCTGAAAACTGTGCTGAATTTATATAAAATATACAGCAGTGAAACCAAGTGTAACAGTCAAAAGTCCGATGCTGCCTGTGAAGAAAAATGCTATGAAAGTGTCTAAAAAAATACATCACCAGGAAAAGATAAGATTTGAATTATGGCTTACCTCCATTAAAAGGAATATAGGGCTACAATTTTACTAAAGATAACATGGCTAAGGCAAACTTTAATAAGTTTATTTGCTTTCCAAAATGCAGGAATTATCAAACTGAAACATCTGAAGTACAACTAATCTAGAGGACAATTATTTCTTTCAAATCCAGAGTACACACACAGAGTACACGCCACAGCAGTGAAATATTTACATTCTAAACTTTTTAAAAATAAATCCAAACTTTGGTTAAAACCCAGTTACGTGACATGACATTGCTTTTAATAAACACAGAAAAGTTCCCCCTGCCCCCCCCCCAAAAGATAATTAATCAGGAAAACATTGTCGGCTATTCCATTTAGGTATTCCTGCAACTTTGTTTTGAAAGTTTGAATACAGATTAATAGCTTATTAAGAGACTTCACTCAAATCCAGTGTAGCTGTTCTATAACAAGAAACCCAAACTTTGAAAATAACATTTTTCATCTTAACCATGGACAGTTACACCACCTTTGATTCAGCTATTTGCTATGTACTCTACAGATACAGCTAGATATGGACAACCAAAATTTTGGCATGAGTTTTTATAACGTGCTAACAGAAAGCAAATATTTGCTTTTGCTGCTCTACAAATCAAGACTAACGATAGACTCCCAGACCTGCAGCTTATCATTTGCTCTTTATACTGTTGAGTAGCAATGTAGCCAGGGAAAAGACTCAAGTCTACTCTCTTTCATAACCTCGTTAAACTAATCCCTGCAGAAGGCACGTGAACAAATAATGGGAACTGCTTCCTCAAGACTGCTAGCTATTAGTCCTCATCCCAGCAGGAAAAAAC